TTAAAAGAGATAAGCAGGAAAACTACATTATGTTAAAAGGTATAGATGATGAAGTAATATCGATACTAATTATATATGCACCAAATGCTATAGCATCTAAATTTATAAAGGAAAAGATAAATGAATTACAGGTGGAATTAGATAGCAAAACTATAACGGGGGAGACTTCAATTTTTTCCTCTCAGAACTAGATAAATATAAACCCCCCAAAAAAGAAGTCAAAGAGACAAATAGCATCTTAGATAAGCTAGATATGATAGACTTCTGCAGAGAATTCAATGGGAATATAAAGGAATATATCTTTTTCTCCCACTCTTATAAAATTTGACCATATATTAGGGAATAAAAATTTTATAATTAAATGCAGAAAAGCAGAAATATTAACTGCATCCTTTTCAGATCATAATGTAATAAAAATTATATTTATTAAAGGACTGTGGAAACACAGATTAAAAACTAATTGGATACTAAATAACCTAATCTTAAAGAATGAGTGGGTCAAAGAATAATTCATAGAAAGAAATAATTTTATGAAAGAGAGTGATAATAATGAGACAACATGGAAAACTAATGGGATATAGCAAAAGCAGTAACCAGAGGAAAATTTATATCTTTAAATGCTTACTTCAGTATGATAAAGAAAGTACAGATCAATGAATTGGGTATGCAATTTAAAAAAAAAAAGCAGAAAAAAGAACAAATTAAAAATCCCCAATTAAAAACCAAATTGAAAATCCTGAAAATTAAAGATGAGAGTAATACAATTGAATGTAAGAAAACCATTTAATTAATAAATAAAAACCCACTAAAATAGATAAACCAATGGTTAATGTGATTTTTAAAAAGAGAGAAGAAAACCAAATCACTAGTATCAAAAATGAAAAGGGTGAATATACCACTAATGAAGGTGAAATTAAAGCAATTATTAGGAGTTATTTTGGCCAATTATATGCCAATAAAATTAACAATCTAAGTGAAATAGAAGGAGACTTACAAAAATATAAACTGCTCAGATTAACAGAAGAAGAAATAGAATATCTAAATAAACCTATTTTAGAAAAAGAAATTGAACAGGCTATAACTGAGCTTCCTAAGAAAAAAGCATCCAAGCCAGATGGAACTACAAGAGAACTGACCAAACGTTTAAAAATTTACTAATTTCAATATTAAATAAATTATTTGGAATAATAGGCAAAGAAGGAGTCCTGCCAAACTCCTTTCATGAAACAAGTATGGTGCTGATAACTAAACCAAGAAGAGCAAAAACAAAGAAAATTCCATATCAATTTCCCTAATGAATATTGATTCAAAAATTCTAAACAAGATACTAGCTAAAAGACCATGGCAATATATCACAAAAATTACACATTATGATCAAGTGGGATTTATACCAGGAATACAAGGCTGGTTCAATATAAGAAAAACTATTAATATAACTGATTACATCGAAAACAAAATCAACAAAAATCATATGGTTATTTCAGTAGATGCAGAAAAAGCTTTTGACAAAATAGAACACTCATTCCTTTTAAAAGCACTTGAAAGCATAGGTATAAATAGATTTTTCTTTAAAATGATAAGAAGCATCTACCTAAAATCACCAGTAAGCATTATCTGTAGTAGGAATGAGCTAGACACCTTTCCAATAAGATCAGAAGTGAAGCAAGGATGCCCATTATCACCACTGTTATCTAATATTGTACTAGAAATGCTAGCAATAGCAATAAGAGAAGCAAAAGGAATGGAAGGAATCAGAATGGGTAATGAGGAAATGAAGCTATCTCTTTTTGCAAACAATATGATGGAATACTTGGAAAATCCTAGAGATTCAACTAAAAAATTAGTTGAAACAATTAAGAATTTTAGCAAAGTAGCAGTATATAAAATAAACCCACATAAATTAGCAACATTTCTATGTGTTACTGTCAAAGCCCTGCAAAAAGAGACAGTAGAGATATTTCATTTAAAATAACCATAGACAACATAAAATACCTAGGAGTATACCTGCCAAGACAAACCCAGGGATTACATGAATCAAATTATAAAATACTTTTTAAATAAATAAAACAGATTTAAATAATTGAAGAAATATTAATTGTTCATGGGTGGGTTGAGCCAATATAATAAGAATGACAATTTTACCTAAACTAATTTACTTATTTAGTGCCACCCAATAGCAAAGTTCATTTGGAAGAACAAAAGGTCAAGAATATCAAAGGAATTAATAAAAAAAAATTTAAAAGAAGGTCTCCAGTACCAGATCTTAAACTGTATTATAAGGTGGTATTGGCTCAGATACTGGCTAAGAAATGGAATGGTGGCTTAGTGAAATAGAGTAGGTATACAATACATAGTAGTAAATTATTATAATAACCTTGTGTTTGATACATCAAAAGATCTAAGCTTTTGGAATAAGAACTCACTATTGGGTAAAAATTGCTGGGAAAGCAATTAGGTATAGATCAACATCTTACACCATTTATCAAGATAAAATCAAGGTGTAGCTATGACCTAGACATAAGGGAAGATATCATAAGTAAATTAAAGGAGCATGGAACATATTACTTATCAGGTTTATGGATAAGAGAAGAATTTATGAATAAACAAGAGATAGCATTATGAAATGTAAAGTGGATAATTTTGATTATATTACATTAAAAAGTTTTCATACAAATAAAACCAATGTAGCCAAGATTAAAGGAAAGTAGGAAATTCTTATAGACAGTTTCTTGGATAAAGACCTTATATCCCAAATATATAGAGAACTGAGTCAAATTTATAAGAATATGAGGCATTCTCCAATTGGTAAATGGTCAAAGGATATGAAAAGGCAGTTTTTGGAAGAAGAAATGAAAGCTAAATATGGTCATATGAAAAACTGCTCTAAATCATTATTCATTAGAGAAATGCAAATTAAAACAACTTTGAGATATTCTCACACCTGTCAGATTGGCTAAAATGATAGAAAGGGAAAATGACAAATGCTGGAAGGACTGTGGAAAAATTGGGACACTAATAATACACTGTTGGTAGAATTGGGAAGTGATCCAATAATTTTGAAGAGCAACTTGGAATTATGCCCAAAGAGTTATAAAACTGTATATACTCTTTGCCCCAACAATGCCACTATTAGGTTTGTTTCCCAAGGTGATCAGGGAAAAAAGAAAAAAAAACCTTTTATGTTCTGAAATATTTGTAGCAGCTCTCTTTGTGGTGGCAAAGAATTGGAAATGAAGGGGATAGCCATCAATACAAGCTGAGTAAATTGTGATAAATGATTTTGATGGAATATTATTACTGTGCTGGAAGAAATGACCAGCAGGTTGGTTTTAGAAAAATATGCAAAGACTTGCATGAAATAATGCAGAATGAAATGAGCAGAACCAAGAAAGCATTGCATATAGCAACAGCAATATTGTTTGAAGAGTAACTGTGAATGACTACTAAGCTGTTTTGAGTAACATAATCATTCATATCAACTATGAAGGATTTATGAAGGAAAATGCTATCTACCTCCAAAGAAAGAACTGATATATGGAAGTATTTATTGTATGGTTTATATATGTGTGTGTGCATGTATATATACATATCTATGTATATGTATACATACATATACACACATATGTATAAAATTTTGGCCTCTAATGTGGGGTTGGGAGGGAGGGAGAGAGTCAACTTAGAACTCAAAATGTAACAAATAAATTAATTTTTAAAATTTAAAAATAATGCAGATTAAACTTAAAAATGGATTGTGTATTTTTTAAGGAGAGCTAGTTGTTAGACATTTACCACTATACCCCGGAATGTTTGAGACCATCTTATTTGACAGTTGAGTAACTGAGGCTTGGAGAGGTGAAACAACTTGCTTGAGGTCACATAGTTAATTACTGATAGAGTTAGGACTTGAAACCAAATCTCCTGGTTCCTCTTTTCTTTCTTCCCTTCTTTCTTTCTTTTTCCCAATGTGCAACAAAAACCTTTATTAGCATTTGGCTCAGCTGTTCCTGAACCTGCTAATCTCAAAACTTAATATTAGGATTTTAAAGAGCTATAAATGCAAAACAGTGCTGTCATGGCAATTTATGCTTTCATAATTAGATCAACAATTAACAGCCACCCCTAAGAGGCAGGACCAGATGGAGGGTGAATTCTTTCTGGATGTTGTGGTCAGTGAGGGTGCAACCATCTTCCAGCCTCTTATTGCAAACATGATCCTCTGCTGGCCAGGAAGGATGCCCTCTTAGTCTTGGATTCAGGCCTTTATATTCACAATAGTGTCACTGGGCTCTACTCCCTGGTGATGGGGGGCCTCCACAAAGATCTGCATACCACCTCTAAAACACAGTACCAGATGGAGGGTGGATTCTTTCTGGATTTTGTTATTAGATGGAGTGGGGCCATCTTTTAGCTGCTTGCCTGCAAGCATGAGCCTCTGTTGGTCAGGAGGCAAGAGATGATATGTTGTGTCTGGGAAATAGCAAGTAAGCTGGTTTGTCTGGAATACTAAGTGTGTGAGAGGGATAAATGGGAAATCATCTGGAAAGAGAGGTGAATCCAAATTGTGAAGGGATTTGAATGCCAAAGGAGTTTGTACTTTATTCCAGAACAGCAGAAAGGCATTCAAGTCTCTTGAAAAGGGGAGCAATATAGTCAGATATGTGCTCTGGGACTTTCAACTTGGCAGCCAAAAGGGTAGATTGGAGAGGGCAGAGATTGAAGGCAGGGATCCCAATCTGGAGGATGCTGCAGTATTCCTTTCTCTTCCTGAACTCTGGTCTGAGTCTCATGGGCCTCCTGAAGCACAGAGCCTGGGGTAGGTATGCCTGGCTCTTTCCAGGTACCATGAAGGAAGTCTTCTAACACAGGGACTGCTTTGACCAGGGAAGGGTAGGTCCTGGGCCAGGAGGCCCCTCTAATATCCCTATGAGTGTACCCTTTCCCCCTGTGTACCCGGAAAGGTTGGGCACGGGCCCTGACTCTCTGTGATGTGTTCCCTGCAGAGGAGAAGAAAGAAGCCTCCCGAGTAAAAGCCCATCTTTGGAAGCTTCTTTCCCCAAAAAGCCTGGTGGGCAGGGCCCACAGAAGTGCCTGGCTGGACAGCTACCAGGAATATCTTGAGGAGCTGGGAGCCGGGGAGGAGATGCAAGCTAGGGCTTTGCTACTTCAACTCTGGGCTACTCAGGTGAGTTTGCACACACGTATAAACACTCCAACAATCAATCAGTGAGTATTTATTAGGTGCCTTCTACATGCTGGGTAATGTGCTAGTCACTGGGGGGCACAAGTACAAAGAATAAAATGATCCTTGCTTCTAATGAGTTTACATTCTAACGAGGGATTCAAGTACAGAAATATAGACAGCATGAACATGAAATGAATGTGTGCGAACTAGCTAAATATAGGGTAGTTTGGGAGGGAGGGCACTAGCCCTTGGTGGAATCAGGAAAGGAGTCATGCAGAGGCTGGTGCCTGGGCTGCACCTCTGCGAGGTGGCGATAAGGAGGCCTGAGGGACAGCCAGTGCAAAGACAGAGATGGGAGAAAGAGAGTCCTGATTGAGGAACAAGGAGAAGGCCTCTTTGGCTGGATTTCACTGTTCAGGAAGGGGAGTAATGTCTAGAGGGGCTGGAAAGCTAGGTTGTGGTGGGTAAATAAAAGCTAAACAGAAGAATTTATGTTTTATTCTAGAGGCCATAGAAAGCCATGAAAATTAATAATGACTCTATGTGCTCTGCTTTCCTCATATTGACCCAGTGAGATAGAGAGCATAAGTGTTAGCTCTCATACAGACAGCAGTTTGAAAAGCTAGGAGGATTTGAATAGACAGATAGTATTATCGTGAAAATAGTTTTGACCTCAAGGAGCCCTTAAAGGGGTCTCAGGTGTCCACAGACCACACTTTGAGAACCACTAAATCAACAGTCTTTAAGTGCCCATCCATCCTTTGATTTTTAAGAACTAGAGAAGTGGTCCCCTCCTCAAACCCTGATGCAGACAGAATTGCTGTCATCATTGCCCCACCCTTCTAATCCTGTATCCAGGAGGCCTCTAAGAATGGGTGAGGCGCATCTGCTGCTGGCTGTAGCTCAGTCCCTGAGGGACTAGAACTGACGTTTCATGCTCTTGTCTCTGGGCCCAGCTCTCTCTCCCCCTTTCCCTCTCCTTCTGTCTCCCCTTCCCCTCCCCTTGGAAGAGGCAGAGTGTTTCATTGCATCCCTGGATAGGTTATTCCCTCATATCGTAGAATATTTTCAAGTTTCTTCTGTGACCATTAACGCTTAATGCAGGTAGGGGTTGGCAAAGAAGCAATGTTTTGCTGTTACATGAAGCAGGGTGGGAGAGTGAGGGACTATGTTTGATTGATCCCTGGGGGATGCAATCAAGACTCCCATTAACATCTAATTACCTGTTCTACGAATAGTTCATTGTCTCTGAATTATTTTCTGAGGCTAGTACTTCACAGGGGTAGCTATAGTCAGGCTATTATCCTACCACTGAAATCTCTAATATAATTTTCTTTTAGAAATCATCACAGTCCTTTGAACAGGACAGTAAAATAACTTCATTCAAAAAAGCCGCTACAGATACAAGAACCCAGAAGAACTTTTAGGTAGCTGTGGTAATATTAAATTCTGAAACCATACCAACAAGTTAAAAGCAAAACATTCCTTCTAAGAGGAATACTTTCAAGATGATCTGCCCATATCCTGGGTATAGTTAAGTGCTTTTTTTGGTTTTGTTTTGTTTTAATAAATTTTTTTTTTTGGCAAACAAGGAAATAAATAGGCAATGGTAGCCCAGGCTTGTAATCCCTGATAACTGAGGAGGCTGAGGCTAGGGGGTCTCTTAACTCAGGAGTTCTGAGTTACCTTGGGCTAAACTGATTAGGTGTCCACATTAGTCTGACCTAAATGTTGTGAGCCTCTAGGAATGCAAGGCTGCTGGGCTGCCTAAGGAAGGCCAAACCTGCCCAGGCCAGAAAATGAACAAGCCAAAGCATTTTTGCTGATCAGAGTGGGAGCAGGCCTCTGTACTTCCAATGTGGGTGAGGAAGGAAGGAAAGAAGGGAGGGAGGGAAGAAAGGAAAGAAGGAAGGACGGAAGGAAGGAAGGGAAAGGAAAGGAAAGGAAGAAAGATTAAATTTAGTAACGTTATACTCTTTTGATGGAAAATTTTTAAAAACAGAATACTGGTGGTTTGTTAAGAAAGAGAAAAAAATAAAAGTATGCTGCATATTGAAATCCAGAAATGGAACACCTCAAATCTACAACCCTACACAGTTGAAATGATGAAATCCTGGTGTGATAATCGAATCACCCTTTAAGTTGTTCCATTTCAATGTCTGACTTCAGAATCTTGTGTCTATTAAAAGATCCCTAGGAGAGAAGACTGCTAAAGAATATGAAAATTCAGCAAATTGCTGTCTGTTGTTTCTTTGATCGCATTCATGACAAGGGTCCCAGGGAGTGGCAGGCAGATTTATAGGCTCATAGAACTTGGGAATCAGGAGGACTTTAGAGACATCCAGTCCAATTCAATCTAATCCAATAAACGCATTTATTAAAAACCTACTATGTGCCAGGCACCGTGCTAAGCATTGGAGATACAATTAATACAAAGAAAGACAGTCTCTGCCCTCAAGGAGCTTACAATCTAATGGGGGGGGGAAGACAACACACAAAAGAAGGCAGGAAAGTGGGGTGGGGACACCAGGAGCGTCAAGATATTAGGAGACACCCTCCTTTCCAGAGCTAAGGTCCAGCAAGCAGGCTGTGCCCTGAGCTTGGCATAACCACAATCCTTTGTGCTCACCCTCTGGATGATCTGATGGTCCCTGAGCTGGGCCAACATGAAGCCCTGCTACAAACAGACTTTTTTGTCACTAGACAACCTTGCCTCACCGTTGCTTCTGTGCCTCACTACTATTGCTATGCTACCCTGTTTGACTCTCTGTGTAGCCACAAATACATAAATCAAGGTTCAGCCACACTAAAGCACCCTAACACACACACACACACACACACACACACACACACACACACACAAGGTATGGGGCCCCAGTACGTGTCTAATTTCCCTCCTTGCTTGCAAGCCGTTTCCCTCATTTTGAAATTAAACTTCTGTTTGATTCCCGACTCTCCTGTCTGTAGCCGGCTCTGTTTGGCTGCGGCCACCCACAGGTTAGAGGCTGGTTCAGCCCGGTTGACAGGAGGCACCCAATTCATTTATTTTACAGAGGAGGAAATTGAAGGGCAGAGGGAGGAAATGGTTTAGAGGATCAGAGATGTAGAGCTCAAAGAACCCTTAGAGGTCATTGAATTCAACCTCCCCATTTTACAGATGAAGAAACTGGGGCCTTAGGAAGGTTAAGTGATTTCCCAGGGTCTCAGAGGTGGTAAGTGGCAGGATTGAGATTTTAACCCATGTCCTTCAAGTCTAGTGTTCTTGTCCCTGGATGACAAGGCCTCCTCTAAAAGGCCGGGTGAGCCAAACACAGTCACAATGCTATGAGAATAATTATAACAAATGTTTTTTTTCCCCCTAGAATTCTCCTTTGGTGCTTCATTGTGGTATGGAGGTGACCTAGGGTCCCTAACAACCATGCCCAAAGACCACAAACTCTGGCAGGTCCTTCGAAGCTGGGGAGGCTTCAAGTCTGGGCTTTGCAAAGGCCTGTGAGCCTGTCACCCCAGGACCAGCCCAGCTCAGTGTGGAGAGGCTCATCACCAAAGGGCTGGCCACTAGGAAATCCCTTTTTTTCCCCCCTACAGCAATTCTTTTAACTGTGGAATGGTTACTGTCTGCATCATTGAAGGGAGTACCCACCTCCAATGAAATCATAACTCTTTTCAAATAATTGGACTATTGAAATTTACATTTCTCTAGCATTTCAAAATTTACAAATAATTTCTCTCATAATAATTCTGTGATATGAGTAGGGCAAATGTTATCATTCCCATTCCACAAATAGAGTAACTAAGACTCAAGGAGGTAGAATAAGTCAAGTTGCTTAGCTGGGCAGCCCCAGTGGCAGAATTCTAACTCAAGACTTCTGACTCGTGTTCTTTCTTTACTGAGAGAAAGATAGCATAGTGTAGCAGATACCATGCTGGACTTGGTGTTAGGAAGACCCGAGTTCAAATCTTGCCTCAGACATTAACTAGCTCTGTGACCCTGGACAAATCATTTAAACCTCTTTCAGCCTGGGTTTGTTTGGTTTTCGGTAAAATGAAGCAGCTGGACTCACTGACCTCTAAGATCTCTTCAAACTCCTAATCTATGATCATATAAGCCTCTCCTAGAGTAGTATATAGGTGAATTAGTTATCCAAGGGTAGACCAGTCAGAAAGTCAGAGATTCAGGACAGACAGAAAGGAGAGTCGCCCCCAGCCATAACAGTCATGGAAGTTGAGTTTAATAATAAGGCAAAATTCTGCGTTAGCCAGGGGTTTCTTATAGACCCCTTTATAGGGGCAGGGAGCTTTCCTAGGAAATGAACAATCCTAAACCTACGAGTAAGGGCATTGTTCCTGACTTGGGGGTGGTGGGGAATGATGGGGAGATACTTAATCATAAATCTACTCCAGAGGTCAAGGAGAGGTTAGGAGGATCTTGGGTGCAAATAATAGCTACTATTTATATGATTTTTAAGGTTTGCAAAGGGCTTTTCAAATATTTGCTCATTTGATCTTCACAACAACCCTGGGAGGTATATCCTATTATTATTATTCCCATTTTACAGATGAGAAAACTGAGGCTAAAGAAAATCAAGTGACTTGCCTAGAGTCACACAGGTAGTGAGTATCTATGGCAGGATTTGAACTCGGGTCTTCCTGACTCCAACTCCAGCACTCTATCCACTGTGTTGTCTCTCTTTAATCTAAGCCCACCCTCCCTTGCTCAATACCCCTGCCTCTTCCATGGGTTAAAAGTCAAAGATAAGGGGCAGCTAGGTGGTGCAATAGATAGAGCACTGGCCCTGGAGTCAGGAGGACCTGAGTTTAAATCTGGCCTCAGACACATAATACGCACTAGCTGTGTGACTTTGGACAAGTCCCTTAACCCCAATTGTCTTGCCAAAAAAAAAGTCAATGATAGGCTTAGGAAGTTGGAGCAGATAAGCGAGGTTACAGCAGTTAAATCCATAACATAAAAGAACCAGTTAGTCCTGCACTACTGAGGA